GGGGAGTAATGTCACGCCCCTGGACTCTTTGTGTTGTGTTTTCCCTCCCCAGGTGTGCCGTGTTCCCTTTAATTAGTCATTCCTTGCACCTGTGTTTTCCCAATCACCCAGTGTTTAAAAGCCCCAGTCCTTTCAGTTAGTGTTTGTCGGTCTTCAAACGTCATTCCTTGTGTTCCAGTGTCTCCTACGTTCCCCGTGTGATCATTAAAGATTGTGAATTGAAGTTATCTCCGTGTTTCCTCGTTCCTCGCTCCTTGCCTCCCGAGAAGTGTGACAACTAGTGATTTTTTTTTTTGAAGAGGCAAGTGAAAGAGAATTTCACCTGCATGACCAGACAAGTAAATTAAAACATGTTCTTATGTGTATTTAAATGGCTGTAACGAAATAAGCAATATATGGTTGAAAACACTGAACAGTTGCAATATATGAAAAGAACTAAGCATGTCCAGCTCTGGCCCTGCAGCAGCCAAAGCGTGAAAGCAGGTTTGAATTTACCAGTTGACGCAATGAACATTCTAATTACACTGGTGCTCACTCATATATTAGGACACTCACATGACATTCTTCAACAATATCATTCATTTCTGTAGATTTGAGCTTTGAGAATGAAAACCAACCTGTTTGTTCCTCAGTATCTTCTTGTTTCACGCTGAATGCTTCTTCAATCTTTATGTCTTCACTCTCCTCTTTAATAAACGCCATCTTTATAATAGTGTGTCACGTGGATCTCAGTTGCTTCAGCAGGAGTTTTTCTGTGTGTTTGGGGACACTGTCATGTTTAAGATGAGAACAATTAACAGAAAGAAAAAAAATAAAAATAAATCTAAAAATCTATTAAAGGATTAGTTCACCCAAAAATGGAAATTTTGTCATTAATTACTCACCCTCATGTCGTTTCAAACCCGTAAGACCTCCGTTCATCTTCGGAACACAAATTAAGATATTTTTGATGAAATCAGAGACCTCTCTGACCCTCCCATAGACAGCCATGTAATTACCACGATCAAGGTCCAGAAACGTAGCAAGGGGATCTGTAAAATAATTCATGTGACATCAGCGGTTCAACCGTAATTTTACGAAGCTACGAGAATACTTTTTGTACGCAAAGAAAACAAAAATAACGACTTTATTCAACAATTTGTCTCCTCCACGTCACCCTGGTGCCATTTTGGAAAATATCCACTGAAAGTAAACTGCGTATGCTATTCTGTGTCAGCTGCGTCATGCGGATACATTTTCTACGTTGTTTACGCTTAGATTTTAACGAAAACCGCATGACGCAGCTGACACAGAATAGCATACGTTGTTTACGTTCAGTGGATATTCCCCAAAATGGCACCAGGGTGATGTGGAGGAGACGAATTGTGAATAAAGTCATTATTTTGGTTTTCTTTGCTAACAAAAAGTATTCTCGTAGCTTCGTAAAATTACGGTTGAACCTCTGATGTCCAATTAGTTCCCTAGTTCAGTAGTCAGTGCACTGGTCAAGTAGTGTCAGGGTGATAGTTAATGATTTTAAATGGCCTTATTAGCCAAACTACAGACACTATTTAAGTTGTTATTTATATTCATTTTGATTAATTAAAACGTAATGAAAGCATTTGCATTTGGTTTGTAAAAGTTGTTACTCTTGTTTGTGTTCTCGTTGCATTGTTATAACCAACAGTTTATTGGAGCGCCTGGAATGAGTGAATCATTTTGTGAAGCAATTCATTCAGATTCAGAATCAGAATGAGCTTTATTGCCAGGTGTGTTTACACATACGAGGAACTTGTTTTAGTGACAGAAGCTCCACAGTGCAACAGAATGACAGTGACAAGACACAGATAATAAAAAGAATAATATACAAAATCCATTCAGTTGTCGATTAACTTGTCTATATACCAATTCTCGATATGTGGAGTGAAATGAGATGCACCTTTTAATCTATTAATACAGTGCTGATGCTCTTTATTCGTAACAACGTTTCTTAAAGTAAGCATTGCACTGCTACATTCAATAATAATTCATTTCACACAGTTTGTAAACGCTATGAAATTGAATTGGCATTTTAGACACTGATATAATTACCTTACATGCTGCTGCTTCTTCTTCTTTCTTTTAAGTGGCAAATCGCACCATACACGCTTTAAAAACACAAACCTTTCTAAAGATGAATAAAAACAGACACCGGAGCGCGACGCAGCCTTATGACGTCACATTGCCAGACCAAAATAAAAGTCCTGGACACACGCTGCTGTCTGACAACACAGAAGTGCAAAGAAATTTACATGCAAACACACACACACAACATATCAGAGGTATTTATAATTGAATTATACATATTTAAATATATGTTGTACAATGCTGAAAATGACTACCAATGAAAAAGAATGTACTACATCTAAATATGTGAGATTCTGTTTAGGAGTTTAGAAAACTTTTTCAGTAATAAGACACTTTTTTTTTTTAAATTGTTGTTTATATGCATTTTTCAAAAGTGCCAGAGTAGCATCTACCTAACAGGTTTGCTAATAAGGGCCACAGACAAACACAGGTAATATACAGACGTTGAAATATGTTTTATTAATTGTACAAAATTAATTGTGGCTGTCTGTGTAGCTTCTTCAATTTATACTATTTACTCATTAAAAAATTTATTATGGGGGAGTTACTTTTAATTCCTATTTTTTTTATTGTTGATTAACAAGTAATTATGTCACTTGTGTATTACAGTTATATTAACATTAATATCAACTGTATTACTAATCTGAGCACTAGATGCCACTATTAATCACTTTACTTCTAGCAGCAGTCATTGTCGCATATAATTCAAATAAATGACATTGCAGTCATCAAACACTTAATTGCACTGTCCATGAACCGGCTTTGAAATATCCAGCAAATGTATTGGAAATGAGCATTTCATGTCTTCTAATTTTAAAAGAGTATGGACTGGGGCGGGACATTCTATTTTCTAGTATGTTTGAATGGCTTTTATCTTTATAAAAACTGGAAAGGTGACTATCCTGCCCCTGTAGAGGAGTTAAACAACCTGCAGACACAGAGTCTGTGAAAACACTTCCTGTACTGTATCTATACTGCAGCACTTAAGAGATTCTGAAGGACTTGGCTGATCTCAGGGCATCCCATCCAGAAGTGCCAGTGGCCTCTGCCCTGAATCTAAAAAAGGCTGAGATCCAAACAGTGCTGGCCAAGAATCTTCCTGACACTTTTGAGGACAAATGTGAGAAGGAGGTCTGAAAGCAAATCAGAAAACAGCTACAACCCTGTTGAAAAAAACAGCATATGCTGTGTAAGAAAAAGTGAAGACGTCGAAGATCTTGATGAAGAATAAACAAATGTGAGAAGGAGGTCTGAAAGCAAATCAGAAAACAGCTACAACCCTGTTGAAAAAAACAGCATATGCTGGTTAGGTATGTTTAACAGGGAAGATAAGGTGACTGACCTGAATATGAATTGGTTACACTTTATTAAGGTTCCCTTTATGAAGGGTTTATAGAGGTGTTCATTATTTACTAATAATACATTTAGAATTGCATTAAAAATCATTAACTTTAACAATTTATGAAAAATTATGACATTATCTGCCAAATAGTGCACATTGTAAATGCTTAATAAATATCCATACTTTCGAATCTGAATCAAAACCATTTTCATGACAGCAAAAAATAGATTATTATAGTGCCATAGCAGGCGTTTAGGCTATAATGTCTCACTTTGCTTTAAGGTTCACCGGTATTTACTTTGCACTAACTTACAGAGGTAAGATATATATAACTTGTGAACAAATGGTTCACTTGGTGTCCACCCAAGATTAGGTTTAAAACGTAAATAATATTGAAATTAAATTATTCATTAATAATATCTTATGAATAAAGAGGTTGTGGTCACCTTTTTTGTGTCAGTCTTTGTCTTTAGAGGACAATGGGTACCACATGGTTAGAAAAGTGACATGAGATATTAATAAACTCATTAATGACAAAGGAGACCTTAAAGGGGTCATATGATGCGATTTCAATTTTTCCTTTCTCTTTGGAGTGTTACAATCTGTTGGTGCATAAAGAAGATCTGTTAAGTTGCAAAGACTAAAGTCTCAAATCCAAAGAGATATTCTTTATAAAAGTTAAGACTCATCCACGCCTACCTAAAATGGCTCGTTCTAACACGCCCCCACATGTCTACATGTGGGAAGATTTGCATAACGCCGGCCAAATGTTCACGCAAAGAAAGAAGGCGTAACTTTTATTCTCGCTGTAGTATTGTTGTTGCCGCCGCCATGTCGTGAAGGCGCTGTGTGCTTCGTTGTGAAAGCGTAACTACTTTGTTTGGTCTTCCAAAAGAGGACGATATCCGCTTCGTTATGCCTAGAGCTGATCCGTGCTGGTCGCTGAGGAAATACTTCAACTTCGCGCTGCGGATCGCCAGATCGGCTTTCACCGTGGACGAACCGGAGTCCGGCACGGGGTCGTCACATATGGTTGCCGCAGGCATCACAATATGGTAAGGGACGTAACATTTCCGTCACACGCTTGAGGAATTCGGCCAATCACAACGCACTGGATAGCTGGCCAATCACAGCACACCTTGCTTTTCAGACCGATGAGCTTTGTAAAAATCGATGCGTTTCAGAAAGGCGGGGCATAGAGGAGAAACAATGTACAGTATGTGGAAAATAATGTGTTTTTTTTAACCTTAAACCGCATAAACACATTTCATTACACCAAATACACAAAATAATGTTATTTTTAGCAGCACCATATGACCCCTTTAATGAAAAGTGTTTGATCAGTTAAATCAGTAGTTTTATACAGGTAGATTGCTTTTTTTTGTTGTTGTTTTTTATTTCTTCAACAGGACACAAAAAAGCAGACAGAGTTTAATTATCAAATTGCAGTTGCTGTTCATGTATTACCACCAAATTTAAAGTCAACAGACACTTCAGGTAAAAGAAATTGTGCCAGATGAAATTTTATTTTTTTCTGTTCTTGTTGTTCCTCTTTGCTTCTGCTTGATTCTGCCTTGCCCACAATTAATGGTCTTTTTTTCTGAGGTGTATAATAAATAGTAAATAGTTATAAATAATAATAAACATAGTTGTGAAATAATTGCATAACTAACTTTTTTATTAGACTGATATATATTGTATGTCTTATATTTCTATATATTGTGATTTGAGACAATGTGTGGACAGGACTTTTATTTTGGTGTGGCGATGTGACGTCACACGGCGGCGCCACGCTCCTGCATATTTGATGCGGCTGAAGTAAGGTCTGTCTTTAAGCTTTTAAAGTGTTTACATCGAAACAAAACAAAGTACTCTTTAGGGTTTTTTTACAAGCGGTGTAAAGTAAAAAAAAAATTCTTAAATTGTAACATTGTAATGCTTTATATAGCATTAATAAACGTTCGTTTATTTATTTATTGTTGTTTTATTTTGTGTGAGTAACAGAAAAGGTGCGTCTCATTTCGCTCCCCATTTCGTGATTCTGTTAATAGTGAACGGCATTCGCAGTGTGTTCACTGGCAAGTAGTGATGGAGAAACGGAGCTTTTTGAAACTTCCGAGTCATTTGAATCAATTGCTTCATAAAATGATTCACTGACTAGAACAGATGGAATCACCACATAAAAACAAACACAAGTATGACAACTTTTACAAACCAACTTGAAATGTTTTCATTTAACTTAATTTAATCTTTTAAATGTAATCTACAAATCAATGAAGTATAAATCACAATATGAAGTGAAGTGATTTGTGTTCTTTTATTAATTTGTTATGCTATTTTTGAGTGTTTTTGGCTAATCAGGCCATTAACTATTACTCTGACTAGCTCATTTGCCAGTGCGCAGACTACTGAACTAAGGAGCTGATTTGAGACACACCCAGAGTTTTAGACTGGATTTTCCCCCCTTCTTTCTGTTAATTATTCTCATCTTATTTTTTTTTCCCTGTTAATTATTCTCATCGTAAACATGACAAATTGTCCAAACACACAGAAAAACTCCTGGTGGAAGCAAAGAGCCACGTGACACATTATTATAAAGATGGCGTTTATTAAAGAGGAGAGTGAAGACATGAAGATTGAAGAAGCGTTCAGAGTCAAACAAGAAGATACTGAAGAACAAACAGGTTGGTTTCTGTTCCCAAAGCTGAACTCAGTCATTTGAGTTCAGCTGAAGTCATTTGATCCTTAATAAAATAGTGACCTCTACAGAAATTAATGATATTTTTGAAGAATGGTGGACTGAATAAAAACACCTGTTTGCCTTTTACTCCTGGAAGTTTAAAAAAAAGAAATAAATCAGGGGGTCAAAAACATATTAATGCATTAATGAGCATAAAAAACTTAAAGGGGTCATATGATGCTTTTTTAAAGATCATTATTTTGTGTATTTGGTGGACTACTTGCACAACTATTTCCATGTTCTACTTATTACAGCTCCGGAGTTTCTGGTCAGCGTTTAGCGCACATGCATACAGACCGATTTTAATAAGAGGGCAGATTATTACTACGTTTTATGGCTGGCAATTAAAAAAGAAAAGCAATTAATAAATCATCTTCTACCTTCCAAACCTGCATCATGAATAATAAATATATTTACCCACTGTCGAGGTCCAGCGCTTGTCTTCTCATTAACAGTATTCTTCTCATACTGATTATTTCATACCTGTTGAATTTACAGTTGGATAAACACCCTTACGAAAATTAACCGTGGTTTTACTATGGTAAAAATGTAGTAACCATTTTTTTGCGGATTACCATTATTTGTATATTTGCACCATACTTTTACTACAAATACCATGGTTAAACTATGGTTGGTTTAGCAAAACTCTTTAATTTGTGGTTACTATGGTTTAACTACAATTTCTTGGTTTTATTTGTTGTAAAACCATGGTTAATTTTCGTAAGAGTGTATTGCTCGTGTGCTTTGAATGTGCGCTATATCGGCAATAAAGAAATTTAACGATGTTGAACATTTAATTAATTTTACACAGTTAACGCGTTGACAGTTGCGGGTACTTTGAATATTCATATATTCATATTTATTGTATAGAGTGAAATGATTGTGAATGAAAACATATTTAATACAGATAAAGAAAGGTTCATTCTGATCTTATTTATCAGATCTCACACAAACTGCAGCATCGCAATTTCTAGTTTAGAGCACTGACACCTGGTTTTGAAGCAATCACGTATGATTAGCAGCCACCGCTTTCTCAGATCGGCAAATGTTGGATTAAAACTTAAAGTTCTGTCAAGTTTGGAAAACTCTGTACACAGTAATCATCAGAATATTTCTTCTCCTGTCTCTGAAATGTCCGGATTTTGAAATAATCCCGCGGACTCTCATTTTTAATAAGCGTTTAAGTCAACAAGATGATTACAGCATATTGAAAATTTACCTAACTGGAAATAACCGGGCAGTATTATTTCAAAATGAAAGTGCATCACGAGGCTCAGTGCAAGTCGTCCATTAGCAGTAAATATGATTGGAATTAAGTGATAAATAAGTCATATGTTTAAAATAACAGTGCACAAACAAATAAATAAACATGTTTTCCCCCTGTCACAGCTTGGTAGAATTACTGCATGTTGTCTACATTTTTTTCTTCATTTAAGAAGAAAATTTCTTCATTTTGGTGAGCCATTAAAATGGCCAGTTGCCAATAATTTTATGATGAACTGCAACATGATAGATGATTTAAATTTTGAGCAACCCAATCAGTTTCAAATCAAAACACAAATTGTGCACTAGAGAAAGCATCTGTTGTGAATTATGTTTCTCATCCCGAACTCCCTGTAGTAGCGCTTGTGAGATTTTCTGCACATTAAGACCCACGATGTGAGCAACACCCCCACCCCCAATATAATTATTCCATAATATAGTTCCATGTCAACTCAATCAGAGATCCCCTGCTCAAATTTTGGATTTTGTCAATATTTTTCCATATTTGGTGTTTGACCACTGAAAAGTTAGCACTAAAATCACAGCTGTCCTCCCTTATCCTTTTCATTTGCTTTCTTTCCCGCTCACTGGTTCATTCAATGGTATTCTTAAACTGCACTTGGTGGTCCCATAGACTGTAAAAAAGATGGATGACACATTTCCAACTCATTTCACTACAGAAAAGTGAAGCCAAACAATCTCTTTATGGCAGCTGTTATCACCTAAAAATTACGTTATTTGCTGCCAGAGTCTGCACAGTAGTGATCATGAGGTGGAGCCGCTGTATCAAAAGTCCCGCCGAAAATTCCGCAGACCCAATCGCAAGATCACAACCAATGACGCCACACCCCATTTTTATAGCATTAAATAACTAACTAAAAGCAAACTTATGAAACGAATGCTTGAACATACATCAGCATGGTAATAACTACCTAAACTGACAGAAACCATCTTTGGAAGAAATTTATTTGAAGCATAATTTGATTATTTAGTTTGTCACACAATAGATTACATGACCTATACTTTGTCCAGCCACCTGGGGACGATTGAAACATTTTGGCTTCACTTTTCAGGACTTGTGCGGCATACTTGGGTGATCCCCTTAAAGTGATGTAAAGTGTGATGAAATCTGAACAGAAGTGGTCATAGGAGACTCCTTCAAAACGCACGTGTACTAGGTCGAAACAGTAAATACATCTCAGTTGACAACTTGTAATGGAATCACCAAATACACACTTTAACCTTTTGAACAGTACGGTCCTACATGTGGGATTTTTAGTTCTGTGCCCCTGGGAGTACGGTCCCACATATGGGATTTAGAACATCACATAACTGCCGAATTCAAACAGTGCTTTCGCGCTTTGGCTGGCGCTGAGACGCTCTCTGCACTTTTTTAAGCACATAACGTTTATTTTAGGTTTCATACATTTAAATATACTTAAGTACTAGTAAAACAATAAATTTAGAATTTGTAAAATACACAAGGTTGTCTATGGAAGCAGCAATAACAATTACAGCAAATATAGCTGCAAGCAGCGATTACCGGGGTTCAAGCACTTTAAGGCCTTTATTGCATTTAAGCTGTTATGGCCTAGGCCAACCTGAAATTTTTGATATTTTGCACACACACATACGCAACCTGAAATGAAAGGGCTTAAGCATAATACTTAATACAAAGTCAGCATATTTACACATGCAAACACATATTGTTGAAGATACAGAGATTTAAAGTAAATGATAGGTAACAAAATGCTCACTGCAATCATGATGTGGCATAATTGCAAAATTTGATTCCTCCAGGTAAATGAAGTGGTAAAGTGACAAAATGTGATATTGAATGTTATCATAGTGACTTTATAATTTATAGACATGAATACAAATGGCAGACCTGTAAATAGAGCTATATTAGTAAGCAGAATGAGCCAATTAATGGTCTTCTACTGTCATCTAGTGGTTAAAATGGCAATTCCAGGGATTTGGCCATGTAAATGTACTTTTTCACCTTTTTAACCATTATAGAGGCAACTGATGTCTGAGCCCCATAAATTTAGCATTTTGCATGCTTGTCTACAATCATACGACACATGGGCTCACCTTTCATGAAGTTTTGAGCTTTCTTTTAGGAATTATAGGGTTTTGGTTACACTGTATCAAGGCCATATTATTAAATGACCCTGTTATAGATGTCCAAATGCAAATGTTCAACATTTTTTGGTAATTATTGACCAAGAGAGTCTAGAGAATTGTACTGCAGTGATTTTATTGGTTTCGAGTTTAAAGCCTATGACTAGTTCACAAAAGTGTTTTTTTTAAATAATCTCAAATACTTAGAACAGTTTGATTAACAGCAATGATCCGCAAAGTTGTTCAGAATGAGGAGATCTATCATATGAAATGAAGATATAGTGTATAAGTGAATATATGAAAATTTTATTGCAATTTGAGGTCATTTACTATAGAAATACTGTTTTTGAGGCTGTTTTAACTGATATAGTGCCACCTATAGTCCGATCTCCATGAAAATTTGCATGCTTGTTACGAGTCATCTGTCACATGTTTTCACCAAGTTTCGTAAAGTTTCGAGTTTTTGTTTAGGTTTTATAGGCTTTTGGGTATATGTGGCCACACCCCTTTTATAAATGACCCCGTTATAGCCAACCAAAGGACAAAATTCAAAATTGTTTTGATAATTATTGATCTGGAGACTCCAGAGAATATTACTGCAGTGGTTTGATCGAGATTGAGTGAAAAACCTAGGACTAGTTTGCAAAAGTAGGTTTTTAACATATTTGTGAATATTTAATGAACGATTTGATTGACAGCAATGGTTCTTGAGGCAAAGTTGCTCATTATGAGGAGATCTATCAAATGATATGCATATTGTGTGGATGTGTGAAACACCACGTGATTACAGAGCCATAAAACTTGTTAGCACCAACTAGTGGTCGATTTCTTTCAAAATTCCTACAGATCTTTAGGGCCATGAGTCGAACACGCCCACCGAGTTTCATTCTGATTGACCTCCGTTAACCTTGTCAAAAAGGTGCTTAAAATTATTTGGCCAATGGCGGCCATGTTTTTTGAGATAAGCAACTTTCCTCATAGACACTTGTGCCACTTTGGACAAAGACACAGCATACCAATTTTAGATAAGCAACTTTCCTCATGGACAAAGACACAGCATACCAATTTTCAAGTCGATCGGACTAACGGTTGCAAAGTTAGTCGGTTTTATGTTTTTTTCCATCTTATAGCGCCACAAAGTGGCAGAGCTGCGCAATTTTTTTATTTGACCAAAGATTGAGCTCATCATACACATGTGTACCGAGTTTGGTGAAGATATCTCATTCCGTTCAAGAGTTATAGCTACAATTAGCTTTTGGCTAACGTATGCATAGAATGTTTTTTGCGTACTGTTGCGTGCGAAAATCAAAATTTCAACTTTTTTTAATACCGTGGAATAAGAGCCTCTCTCTCTCTCGCGCATGCTCTATTTTCGGGATATTATATGCAATTTGCAGGTGTCAGAGATCCACTAGCAGTATGTGGGAGACTCTCGGACCTTCTGGGAGTGAGGAGATGTCTGATAATGACAATAACATATTTTTATTAAAATACTGCAAATATTGTTTGGATATTGTATTGAAATATTTCTTGGTTCATTCACCATTGGCAAGTGTTTTGTACCCTGTTTGCCCTCCGCAAACAGTGTCAGGGAGTCGGTTAAAAATGTTGATTCCTTGACTCAACTCCAGCACAGGAATCTACTTTCCTTGTTGACTTAAGTTTGTAATTATACATGCCAGCTTTGTTGCTTAATTTATGTTATATTAATGCAATAAATATATATTTGCTTTTCCATGTTTAACCTATTTGTATTCATAGTCATTAACCTAACCTTAAATCATCAAAAACTCACATTGAGAATACACAAACCAATAAGTATACAATATTGTATGTATTTGTGTACCTGTTAAATTAGACGTGCACAATGCACATGATTGTATGGGTGTAGCGTCATCACTCAGCCATTATAATGACATGAATTCATTAAGGAATTCCTTCTTTCTTGTTTGTTTAATTCTGAAATGATATTCAACCACGGCTGTTTCTCATAACTTTTCCCTCTGTAAAATTACGTATTGGCAACAATGTTGATAGCTACTCATCATTTCAAGGTAGTGTCATTGCTAAATTGGAATAATTTGGACAGTCACGCTAAAAGTGTGTTGTTTTATTAAGGGGAATTTAAGGCTACATGTCAAGAAAAAAATTAAGTGTCTAATACCAACTCCAATCTTGTGTCATTCCTGACCCTGTTTTGCTGTAAGGTAAATAGAGTTGATATGTCAATTACATTGACTCCTATGGTGGAAGTCAAAAAAAAAAAAAACTGGAATTGAACAACCTTACTTTTTTTCAAAAATAATTTCTAGATTGTACATTAAGATATTTTAGTATCTCCGAGTCCACAAAATTTCTATTTAGTTCATATGCTACCAGATGAGACCAAACACGAGTTACGTGTTGGAACAATGCAAATGCTACAGATGTGAAGGAGGCAGTAACAAAACCATCCTGTACCTGATCTGTCCCAACAATCTTTAATCAGCATATTGATGAATCTCTATTAATAAATCAGATCAATCTCTCACACTGATCAGTACAGCCCTTCTATGTGCTAAGTTGCTTTCAAGAAAAATCAGACAACTACAGAAAGCTGACAGAAACACTGAACTATAGAGTTTTTGCACCCAGATGTTCCCTGAATGCCCTATTGAGAAACAGTAGAGGACCTAATACTCAGCCCTGTGGCACTCCATACTTTATGTAAATAAGAGGTGCCTTGTCAAACACAAGTATATTACTACTTGTTGGATAGATACGATCTAAACTGTGCTAATGCTTGTCCACAAATGCCAACATAATTGCACAATTCGCAAATTATCCAAGAAAATATTGTTGTTTATACTGTGGAGAGATCTGAAAGCACTATAAACTGAAAAAAAAAAAAAACGGTTTCTCGTGCAAAACTGAACATATGTGCAAGGATGCTATTTTTTCTAATATTTTAGACGAAAATGGCAGGTTTGAGATTAGTGTCTAATGGCGCATTTCCACTGCATGGTACGGCACGGTACGGCTCCGTATGGTTCACTTTTTGGGGGTTTTCCACTGGGTACAGTACGTGGGACCTGGTACTTTTTTTAGTAACACCTCGGTTGGGGTTTCAAGTGAACCGTACCGTTACCAACACTACCTGCGTCACTAAACTTGCGACACAAACACAAAAGAACCGCTCGATTTAAATCAGCACAGCCAGTGAAGGATCGAACGTAACCGTTTTGAACGAGCGCACCTTTTTTTAACAACCAAAAAGTTTTAACCGTTTTCAACGAGCGCACCTTTTTTTAACAACCAAAAAGTTTTGTTGTCTGCTGCGGAAGAACAGACGTTCCTCTCGTTGATAGCAGAGGAGCGGATCCAGCAAGAGCTTGATGGGGCGACGCGGAATGAAAAAGTTTTTTTTAGAAGTCGTGATAGTAGAAGCGGCGCAACTATAACGGCATTTGAATAATCCCGCCCACTCTAAAGCGGTACTGAACTGCAGTGGAAACGCAAACCGTGCCGAGCCGAACCGTGCCGTGCCGTACTGAGCCGTGCCGAGCCGAGTCGTACCACGCAGTGGAAAAGCGCCATAATTAACCATTTCCCTTTGGTTAAGCTATGTTTTTTCTTCTTTTTCTTCTTAAGGGGTTTAACATTTGACAGCTTAAACTTTTTTGGGACATAAAAATAAGCATAGAGTCAATAATATTAAGAAGAGATTCTTGGATTGCAGGAAACACCTGTTTCAGTATCTTAGGGGGTATAGGATCTAGCATAAATGTTGTTGGTTTTGTCTGTTGTCTTTATGCCATTAAACTTTGGTTAATGTGTATTTGGCTCTTTTCACCTTAGACATGATTGCACCGAAAGAAGAGAGTCAAGGACTGAATAAATCAGAAGAGCAAGATCAGCATGAGGAACATCATGATTTCATAACTGGAGAAAAATTTAGTTGCTCACAGACTGAAAAGTCTTCCTCTCGAAAAAGAGCTCAAAAGACAGGAAGTGGAAATTATTTCACTTGCCAACAGTGTGGACAGAGTTTCGGTCAACATGGAAACCTTAAAGTCCACATGAGAATTCACACTGGAGAGAACCCTTTCACCTGCCAACAGTGCAATAAAAGTTTCAACAGAAAAGGAAACCTTAATGTCCACATGAAAATTCACACTAGAGAGAGACGTTTTACCTGCCAACAGTGTGGAATAAGTTTCACTCAAGAAAGAAGCCTTAAAGTCCACATGAGACGTCACACTGGAGAGAAACATTTCATCTGCCAAGAGTGTGGAAAAGGATTTAACCGAAAAGTAAGCCTGAAAGTCCACATGAGAATTCACACTGGAGAGAAGCCATTCACATGCCCTCAATGTGGAAAGAAATTTGATCAACATGGAAACCTCAAAGTCCACATGAGAATTCACACTGGAGAGATCCCTTTTACCTGCCAACAGTGTGGAAAAAGCTTCAACAGAAAAGGAAACCTTAAAGTCCACATGAGAATTCACACCGGAGAGATCCCCTTCACCTGCCAAAAGTGTAGAACAAGTTTCACTCAAAAAGGAAGCCTTAAAATCCATATGAGAATTCACACTGGAGAGATCCCTTTTACCTGCCAACACTGTGGAAAACATTTCATTAGAAAAGGAAGCCTTAAACGCCACATGAGAATGCATACTGGAGAGAAGCCTTACACATGCCCTCATTGTGGAAGGAGTTTTACACTTAAATCAACCCTTACGTCCCACGTGAGAATTCACACTGGAGAGAAGCCATTTGTATGTGGTCAGTGTGGAAAGAGTTTCAGATTCAACGTATCCCTTAATCACCACATGAGGATTCACTCAAGAGAGAACTGGGCCCGTATTCACAAAACATCTTAAGGCTAAAAGTAGCTCGTAACTCACCGATTTAGGAGAACTAAATTTAGGACTCCTACATTTTTGTTCTAAGAGTATTTCACAAAGCGTTTTAGCTCTAAAACTAGCTCCTAAATCTGTGATACATTAGGAGTAGTGAAGAGGACTCCTAAGTCACTAAGACCAAGCTACAAACTTTCCTAAAATGGCTGTTGCCGGCAATCTGCCTTGGAATGTAAACAAATTTTACTGGATTTTAAAATTTACTGAAATTTTAATGGAACTCAAATTTAGGCCCGGCCCTGGCCCGAGACGCTCAGGCCCTAGCCCGGCGCGTGTCCGACAAGCTTATCAGAATTACCGGCCCGAGCGCGTCTTTTTTCCCCTTCTCCCAAAACAGCTTAAACTACTGTTTCAGCTATTAAAATAGTTCAGTTTTGTATGTAATAGCAAAGTGATTATATTTCGTTTCGTTTTTTTGTGAAGTTAATTTAAAAAAACGTTTGGAGCATTTTTTGTTTGTTAAATATACGTTTTTGTTTTTTTTAAAGTAACGACCAAGCGGCCAACGGCAGACAGTGAGCCTATGTTTTATCTTCTCAATGTTTAGATTTTTTGAACGGGTAAGAGAGCGGCAATCAGCGTTTTGAGGAAGCGGTGTGTGTAACGGACTCTTAAATGAGTTAGGCTACACAACCCAGGGATACCCTCTTTCCCGGATTTTGCTGGATTATTGACGAGCGATCTCACTGTGGATCTGCCGTCTCGTCTTGAACAGGAGCGCTTCCCAAAAATTAACCAAAACTCAGCGAATACATGTCTCACAGACATGATAAATATATCTATAGAAATATTTAATTAATGTTTAAATTAATTAAACGGGTAAGAGAGCGGCAATCAGCGTTTTGAGGAAGCGGGGTGTGTAACGGAATCTTAAATGAGTTAGGCTACACAACCCAGGGATACCCTCTTTCCCGGATTTTGCTGGATTATTGACGAGCGATCTCACTGTGGAGTAGGCATGGGCCTGTATGAGATTTTGACGGTATGATAACCTTAAGCAAAAATATCACGGTAT